AAAAAAAAAAAAAAAAAAAAAAAAAATATATATATATATATATATATATATATATATATAGCAATAAACAAATCGAGAAAAAAAATAGGGCATCCAGAAAAGTGCTTTATAAATGAACATATGGCTAAAAGCAATAAAAGTGAGCATAAAAGTGTCTGCTAGATAATTTTTTTTTTATGAATTAACTACTCTAGACAATAATTGTAAAAATTAAAAAAAAAATTAAAATAAAAAAAAAAACCTATAGCACAAATAAACAGAAGAATATAGATTGAATAAATGGCTAAAACGAATAGAATTGCTTAAAAGTGTCTGCTAAAGGAAAATAATTGTTATTATTATTACAGACTCAATGACTATAAAATTAATTTCTAAAATTATTTTATTTTTTTTTAAGTTGAGAACAAAGAACGAGAACAAAGCTTGATTGTTTGCTAAAACATGAGTTTTGTGGCAGAATAATAGAACAGAATGTACTTTACAAGAAAATAATAAATTTTTGTACAATAACTAAATACAAATCTTAAGTCATGTGAAGGAACAAATGACACACTGACACAGATTCAACTGATGAAAAGCGGGGAAATATTTGGGTTATAACCTGAAGTGTTATGATTATGACTCCCAAATTAAACTAATCCTGTTCATGTCTTCAGATTAAAATGGAAAAAAAAAAAAAAAAAAGATTTTCAATATCCTAAAAAGAGCCATACTTTCATTTAACTGTGTAATGATAATTATATGAAAATGAGTCATGGCTCATGAGTCATTAAAGGAAGTTTGGAAATGAAAAACTATTAAAAACTTCTTTGAATTTGCAATTACACTTCATCTTGACGTCAGAAACATGTCATGTAATTAAATACGTTTTACTTGCTGACTGTTCCAACCTGCTTGATCTAGTAAAATTAATATGTTTGCTTTTCTACAATGCACTGATCAAACGTGAGGTCACATGACGACTTTTTATGCAATAATGGTTTTATTCAATAATGAGCGGGACCGTGCTCTAACCATCAAAATCACTTCTAACGCTTTGTTGTTTTTTTTTTAATGTTTTTTTAAAGTTAGACGAACGTTCATCTGAACAGTTAAAAAAATATTCCTTGAATGACATACAGATCATGTTTTTATGCTAACATTTTAAAAACACTAATAAAAGACCAGACAACCGAACAAATGTTCTGTTTATATTACTGGAAGAACGTTATTCATAACTTGGAGAGAATCTTGCCAGAACGTTCTCGGTTAACGCTGGGAATCCGGTTTCTGCCATGGTATTTAAAAAAAATAAACTAGCAATTGGGACTTTTTAAATCACTAAATTCTGACTTTAATTTAAGTTACAACTGTTTTCTCAGTATTATGAAATAACCAATTTTGTTATCCAAGCAGACATTAAAGGGATAGTTCACCCAAAATTGTAGGTGACTTTGTTTCTTCAGTAGAACACATGATTTTTAACTCAAACCGTTGCAGTCGATCAGTCGTATAATGCATGGCAACGGTAGCAAAATCTATGAGAGTAAAAAAAACATGCACAGACAAATCCAAATTAAACCCTGCGGCTCGTGACGACACATTGATGTCCTTCAAAGACAGTTGGACAGAGTTGTATTCGAGGTAAAAAATTATATAAATACCGTTCGTTTTATCGCACAAACCGATCGTTTCGTGTGTTGGGACATCAATGTGTCGTCACGAGCCGCAGGGTTTAATTTGGATTTGTCTGTGCATGTTTTTTTTACTCTCATAGATTTTGTTACCATTGCCATGCATTATACGACTGATCGACTGCAACGGCTGGACTTAAAAATCATCATATGTGTTCTACTGAAGAAACGGTCACCTACATCTTGGATGCCCCGGGGGTAAGCAGATAAACATCACATTTTCATTTTTGGGTGAACTATTCCTTTAAGAAGAAAAAAGTCAGAATTGCGAAATATAAACCTGAGAATTCAGAGAAACAAAGTTGTGAGACGTAATTACGAAATGTAAACTGAACTCAGAAATGGATATAAACTCATAATCACGAGAAATAAAGTTATAAACTTGCAGTTTTTTTGTTTTGTTTTTTTTTTGCGCAGAATGACTGAAAATATTGAATTGCAAAATGTTATACTCAGAATTCAAAGAAAAACATCTTATATTTTGTAAGAAATTATAATTGTGAATAAATAAATACTTATAAAAAGGGAGAGTTCCGGTCCTTGATTCTGATTGGTTGAGCCGCGTTGTAGCTGTTGTAAATTACTCCGCAAACATACACCTTTGTTAACTTCTGTGTGTTGCTCTGCAACCACTTTGTTGGAACCACAACTGTTTCTGAGGAGCTACATTGTTTGGTGGAAGAATATAGTTTTTATTAAGATGATTACACTTTATTTGCTCGGTTTTATTCTGTGAAACCTTACTACGTATATGGAATAACCGTTTTATAAAAAGTTTTTATTAATATCAATACACTTTATTTGCTCGGTTTTATTTATTAAGTCACATTTTGCCTTTTGATTTTCTCATTCTGTGCTGCTACTTATGTGCAAAATAAACCAAACAAACCTGATAGCCATTTAGATTGAGAAAGGACAGGATTTGTTGCACAATACTGTAGATGCCAGTTAATTCTTCTATTCCAAAGTTGAGTAAAACCTCTTACTTTCACCACAATTTCACAGGTGTGGTATTACTATTTCCTCCATCATATTCCTGCTGTCAAAGTGTCATCATCATGTATGACAGCTGCTGAAATTCTGGAATAATGCGGTTACAAAAGAGCTGGATTACAGCATTGCAAGATATCAGTACGAGCTCGCTCACAACACAACGGCTCATTCAGACAGAAAGACTAAATTATGTTGCCCTAAAAGACAAGGCTACCCCAGAATAAGTTATTTGCTCGGTTTTATTCTGTGAAACCTTACTACGTATATGGAATAACCGTTTTATAAAAGCAATAAGCCCCGTGAAGCCGTGCTTTACAGTGAATTTATAACAGCTAAGGGGCGTTGTTAGGCACGACGCGAAGCGGAGCTTATTGCCCCTTCTTTATAATTGTGAAAAATTAAGTCAGACTTGCAAGATCTCATGTAAGTTCTGATGTAAAATCAGAATCTCAGGAAATAAAAAAAAAAAAAGTCAGATAAGTCACATTTTGCCTTTTGATTTTCTCATTCTGTGCTGCTACTTATGTGCAAAATAAACCAAACAAACCTGATAGCCATTTAGATTGAGAAAGGACAGGATTTGTTGCACAATACTGTAGATGCCAGTTAATTCTTCTATTCCAAAGTTGAGTAAAACCTCTTACTTTCACCACAATTTCACAGGTGTGGTATTACTATTTCCTCCATCATATTCCTGCTGTCAAAGTGTCATCATCATGTATGACAGCTGCTGAAATTCTGGAATAATGCGGTTACAAAAGAGCTGGATTACAGCATTGCAAGATATCAGTACGAGCTCGCTCACAACACAACGGCTCATTCAGACAGAAAGACTAAATTATGTTGCCCTAAAAGACAAGGCTACCCCAGAATAAGATCAATAAAAATAGGATGTCATGCTTTCTATTGCTAATTTTTAAATGACTTTGCTCATTTGCATGACTTTTCAGACAGATTTAGCCTTAAAACATGCGTAGTGTTGAGCAGTTTCTAACGAGCTGCAATTGTATAAGCTTCTTTAACTTGATATTTGACACTGCTGTCATCAGAAAAGATACTTACCAAAAGTTACTAAAAGTAACTTAACAGACGAACTGAAAGCTTCGTCAAACAACAATTCTATTCAGAAACTCAAATTAACGATCACATCTGATATCGACTCACAGGTAAAGTGATGGAAATGTGAGCTCGTTCAGTAGTTTAATAGCATGAAGCAGTATCATAATGTTAGTAAAGGTATGTTGTTTAGTTAGCTGTAGGCTGATGTGTGCTGTCAGTTTAGAGATGGCAGAAACAGGACTTACTTGAACTGCAGACAGAATGAACAAAACTCCAGTGAAAATCATAACTAAACAAAATTGACACCTGGGTTTTACAAGTGTTTACTTACGGTGCATCTGGAAAGTATTCACAGTGCTTCACTTTTTCCACATTTTGTTATGTTACAGGCTTATTCCAAAATGGATTAAATTCATTATTTTCCTCAAAACTCTACAAACGATACCCCATAATGACAACTTGAAAAAAGTTTGTTTGACCTCTTTGCAAATTTCTTAAAAATAAAAAACAGAAAAAATTCACACATAAGTATGTACTCACAGCCTTTGCCACGACACTCAAAATTGAGCTCAGGTGCATCCTGTTTCCACTGATCATCCTTGAGATGTTTCTACAACTTGATTGGAGTCCACCTGTGGTAAATTCAGTTAATTAGACATGGTTTGGAAAGGCACACACCTGTCTATATAAGGTCCCACAGCTAACACTGCATGTCAGAGCACAAACCAAGCCATGAAGTCCAAGAAATTGTCTGTAGACTGCCAAGATAGGATTGTATCGAGGCACAGATCTGGGGAAGGGTACAGAAAAATTTCTGCAGCATTGAAGGTTCACAGAAGCATGTAGTCTCCGTTACCCTTAATGGAAGAAGTTTGAAACAACCAGGACTCTTCCTAGAGCTGGCCACCTGGCCAAACTGAGCAGTTGATGGAGAAGGGCCTTGTCTGAACCTGATGGTCACTCTAGTTGAGCTCCATGATCGTATGTGCAGATGGGAGAAACATCACTGCAACACTCCACCAATCTGGGCTTTATGGCGGTGTGGCCAAACTCAATCCTCTCCTCAGTGAAGATGCATGAAAAAACACTTGGAATTTGCAACAACAAAAAAAAAAGCACCTAAAGGACTCGGTCAACTAGATTATCTGGTCTGATTAACCTCAATTCAAAGCATCGTGTTTAAAGAAAACCAGCTCTGCTCGTCACCTGCTGAGTACCATTCCAAAAGTAAAGCATGCTGGTTCAACACATTCTCACTCCCAACTCGTCACATATTGACGCTTGGTCAGGATCCTTTGGTGTCACTTTTTGACACTCAGGATACCCCTTTAGTGTCATTTTTTTTCGACGTGCATGGTCCTCCATTGCTTTAAATAAGAAACCCTTGGTGTCAATATGCCGATGAGAAAGGCACTGGGAATTTTATCGCCATGATTAAATTATATATTAGGTAATAATATTGCCATTATTGCATATACATTGGGGTGTCATTTTTCAATGTAAACAGTCACAACTGTTTCATTTCCATTACAGTATTTACACATTTATGAGCACGTAACCCAGTTCCTGCCCCTAAACCTACCATTTGTCAATAAAACACAAGACATAACATACAGATACAACTACTACAATCATAATTTATTCAAAAAGTATTAATATTCAGAGTCTTCCGAGGCAAAACTATTGATTTGTGAGAGGAATAGCCGTATACTTCCACCATAAAGCTCAGATCCTGTGTGCTACAACCTGTGCACAAATTCAAAAGATGCCGCCAGAAGAAGCCTTACGTCAGCCTTGGTTGTGAAATGCTATTGGCTGCTGTGTGTCTCGTGACCGACTGCGTCATGCTACGGGACGGGAGTACCTTTTTGAATGAGATGTGAGTGCGTCAATGGAGTGGGATCATTTTCAGCGATTAAAACCTTATGTTTTACTCTCTTCTTTGCATAAAGATATCGTATGGCTTCGGAAGACTTGGAATGCAACACGACTTGTTTATAATGCTTTTACACTGCTTGTTTATGGTCAGTTTTTGCAATAAATACCTGTGACTGTACTTTTGTTGTCCTGTTACATGTTTTATATTCAGAAGTGGGTAGGTTTAGGGTAGGGGTGCGTTAGGTGCTCCAGTGTGAGTATAAATTTATATAAAATTATTTTTATATTTTACAAATACATGCAAACCATTAAATTAAGGCAACTGAAAATAATGGAGGACCCTGCACGTCGAAAAATTACATTAAAGGGGTACCCCGAGTGTCAAAAAGTGACACCAAGGAGTCCTGACAAAGCGTCAATATGTGACGAGTTGGAAGTGAGAATGTGTTGGCTGGTAGCAGCCTCAAAAGAAAAGCTCAATGCACCGAAATATGGAGATTAATAAAAACCCAGTCCAGAGCATTCAGAGAACCTCAATCAGACTGGGCAGAAGGTTTACCTTCCAACAGGACAATGAACCTAAGACATTAAAGGGGTACCCCGAGTGTCAAAAAGTGACACCAAGGAGTCCTGACAAAGCGTCAATATGTGACGAGTTGGAAGTGAGAACGTGTTGGCTGGTAGCAGCCTCAAAAGAAAAGCTCAATGCACCGAAATATGGAGATTAATAAAAACCCAGTCCAGAGCATTCAGAGAACCTCAATCAGACTGGGCAGAAGGTTCACCTTCCAACAGGACAATGAACCTAAACACACAGCAAGAGTGGTTTATAGACAACTCTGTGAATGTCCTTCTAGTTGGCCGTCAACTGTAGTCTGTCCAGTGTGTTCTAGTGCAACTTTTTTTGTCCCGATGCAGGCGTCGCGAGGCTTTCCTCAGTGGTTACGTTTACATGCACAATTTTTGGTTCAATTGGACTGAATTCATTATAAAAACCCAGTCCAGAGCATTCAGAGAACCTCAATCAGACTGGGCAGAAGGTTTACCTTCCAACAGGACAATGAACATAAACACACAGCAAGAGTGGTTTATAGACAACTCTGTGAATGTCCTTCTAGTTGGCCGTCAACTGTAGTCTGTCCAGTGTGTTCTAGTGCAACTTTTTTTGTCCCGATGCAGGCGTCGCGAGGCTTTCCTCAGTGGTTACATTTACATGCACAATTTTTGGTTCAATTGGACTGAATTCATTCCGATTGATGAATCTGAATGTAGTGTTTACATGAACGCTAAATGACGTGATCGGGTTGATGTGCGTGTTTATATGTCACAAGCTTCATGTGTGCTTCACAATGATCATATTTATCACACAGTAAAAATGCCCCTCCCCGTGCCCAAAACGGGTTGCCTGTGGATGAGAATCCAAAACAAGGACTGGTGGGAGGTTGTCCTGCTCCACTTCACAGTTGCCGAGTGAAAGGAGAGTTTTATAATGACAGGACACGCATTTATACAACACTTTATTCAAAAGGAAGAACCGCTCGTTCTGCGTGTCATATGTCATTACGCTCTTTCTGCGTCATTGCACATGCGCAGTTCTCTCAGTTTTGGGGTTCAATCCGATCGAGTGTTTACATGCACTCTCAATCGTATTAGAAAAGGAATAAACCATGCCCTTCAATCCGATCGAAATTTTATTCCGATCGAGCTCAATCGGATCGATTAAAGTGTTTACATGAAGGTTTTTTCAGATTGAGCCGTCAATCCATTTAAAAATGGATTATTTGATTGCATGTAAACGTAGCCACTGCTAGTTCTTTGGTGTCAGTTTGGTGTGTCCCTACCCTAACTGCAAGTTCTTCAACACTTGTGACAGCGCCTTCAGGAACGAGATCTTGACTGTCAACTCATCATCAAGTGATTTTTGACCAATGCAGCTACTAATTAAGACTTTTTGGGGCAAAATAATCAGAAAAAAACTCTGTGATGGGACTGTTTAACAGTCAAACTCCACTCACTCTCTTGCAGTTTGAGGTCGACAGGAATCCAGTCTTTCTTTACAGTGTCTTTCAGCACTCCAGTGTAGTACATGACTATCAACTCACACAGCAGACTGGCCGTGCGCTGCTTTGAGCTTTTGTTCTTCAGTTTGGCATCTCCACCAATACAAGGTCCTGCCCCATTCATGATGATCTCAATGGTGAACAAATACAAAGTCAGCTGTTTTCAGAGCATTTCATTTTCACATTTGCACATGCTTAAAGGAGAACACTGGGCAGGATGTGAAAAAACATGTTTTCCTCAAAATACAAACCATAAATAAATGACAGTTAATCAAATTAGCATTAATATTATTAGCATAATGGGTAGCAGAGTCTATGTTGGTTCACCAGATAATTAATCAAATCTTGAAGCAAAACCAGTTGAGAACTAAAGTAGAAGTTTGAATTGTGAGAATCTAATAAATTAATCAATTTATGAAAGCAGAAAGAAAAAATAAATAAACCTCAAAGATAAACATGCACAGTAATAAGGGAAAAAGATTAAATTAATCTTTATCCTGTACAAACCTCTTTGTTCGGTTTGTGGTTTCTCTCCTCCAGTTTTGCCTCCTCTTTCTTCAGCTGACAGATTTCTGTGATAAAATCATCAATATCCAGCATGGACAGACATATTATCTCCTTCAGGTAACAAGTTTACATTTTAAACACAGTATTACCACTGCTGGTTTCTTCTTAAAATGTAAGGTCTGTGTGAACTCCTTTTAAATAAGTGAGCTGCTGCTTTGTTTTGTTTACTTTGGATCTTAATCTGAAACATGGTGCATTTCCGCCACCTGCCAGTATGGAGCAGAAACACAACAACCTTCATCACTAGGGCACAACTTCTTGGGAAGTAGAAATCAATAATATTTTAAAATATGCACTTTCATTTGTATACCTAATATGTCAATATATATGTCATATTTGACATGTTTAAACATATGCTTTATCTTCCTGTGAGTTGGTTTAGTGAATGTGAATCTACATCACGCCGCGTTGCAAGCTGGGGCGCCGCCGCCATTTTGACAGGATCCCCCTCTGCTGCAAATGCTGAAATTAATACGGATACCGGCTTATCTTTTGTTTTGTTCGCCTTTAAGTTAAATATTCACATTCTTCATTGGATCGTTTGCAGAGAAGAGAAGCTAGTTTATAGCTTCGCATGATAATTAGATTTTATCTCTTCAGTTTTGTAGAATTTCATTTACTTCGATCTGATTAGCGTGAAAACAGTGTCGCCCGCTAGACGCGCGCTGCTGCTTCAGCCGTCATATGGTAGATTATACAAATAAACTGTTTGTTCAACAAGCTGACAGAAGTCGATCCATTTCTTTGTTCAAAACATTTAAATGATGAAGTATAATTGTTGTCACTGTATATATAAATTTTTCCATGGCCCCAGAGGAGAATCAGAGATTGTGGATAACATTCAACAGACAGACACAACCACACTGCTATTTGTTTATATTTATTTCAACAAATGATAACTTAAATTAAATCACTGGAAGCTTGTGAACAGTTTTGTAGCATTTAAAAATGCTGGTTTAATGTACTAAGACAGTGATAAGA